TTATTTACTTCTATTCAGTGTTTAATTCAGTTTTGGAAACAATAAGAGCTTTACGAGGAGTTATAATGCAGTCTGGTAGAAATTCGCACCTTTCCAATGTGATGGTGGTGAGGTTGTAAGCCTTAAGCGCCAGCTGCTCTTTACCGCCAGGGAGATTCCTGGTACACATTTCTGTTAGAGGCTGAATCAACCCCAGTGCCATAGTGCTGCTAGAATACTTAAGTCAAATGAAAAATTCAATGATCTCACTGGGACTCAAACCTGCAAGCTTCCGGCTTGTAGCATAGTGCCTCAACCAACTACACTAACGCGTGCCCCAATGTGTACAATTGCTTAATCTAAAAAAGTGTATGTTCAGTATACATTATATAATGCAATCGTTTGTACAGTCATTGAATGGTTCAGGTATTACTGCAGAGTGAATAATGTGTGCCATAAACTGCATGAACATTACACATTAAAGTTTAATACACATTCTGACCATATCTACTACATGTTCAGTTTTGATTCAAAATAGAAACATGCTCAGAATATTCTATGCTACATATTCATATATGAACATGAGATAGCTTACAGTTCAGTACAACAGACTGTCATGCATATTTAAATGTTTCAAAAATATTTGTTGCTATTCATTCATCAGTAATCTGTCAGACGACAGGTCCACAGCCTCTTCCAAAACAGTTTCTCCACTTAATGCGATCTTCTGTTTTTGGAAAGAGACTATCCAGGAAAAGTGATAATGTGGTAGTTTTTCATTTGCTTTCCACATCGCAGTACAACAGCCGTTCAAACCACTCTGGTCACGCCTGCTACCATATCGAGCATCATTTTCTCTGTGCTTCAAGTCGCCGCTGATGACGCTGCTTCCGGCATCAGTTTTCGGTGTCTCTCTTCGTCTGATGCCTACCCTTTGACCTGTCCAGCAAGGGAGGCCCTGCCAGTAGCTACGCTACCGCTGGTATAGCTCTCAGGGTCCTTGGCATACTCAAACACCCTCACCACGATAAGGTGGAGACACCAACGAGGGGATGTTGCTATATGGAAAGTTAAATAATGGCCAGGTAATTCAAACCAATGGCATGTTTAATAACAAAGATCTAAGTGTCATGAATATAAATAACATATTAAGTATTTGCTTACTGATTATTTATGGAATTGTATGGGAGTTAGTGAATAATATCCCACAGTTCTGCATCACTTGATCTGTTACAGAAATGAACTGCTAAGTAGCATCATTACACATATCGCTGCCAAAGCTCATCAACAGCAGAAGTACTGTACCGCATAAACATATTTTCTTACTATATGTAATAATACAAATGCCGTCATAAATGCAACAATTTATTTGGTTGTAGATCTTTGTCTTTTCTTCCTCTACACTGCATGTTTCGGCCGTAACCGGCCATCATCAGGTGTATTTTTCACTACGTAGCCATCACACTGCACACAGTCCAAAATCTAAAACATCAGCCTGTCAGTTTTGTTTTAAAATCTCGCCAACACACGCTCGTCAATTTGATTTTAGAATTACAGTTTAAAATTTAAAGTTTTAAATACCAGGGACACCTGCTCATCTACATGTGCTGCAGCGGCTATTTCTTGTTTTCAGCACCGTTCATGTATTATTCTGTGCAGGCTCTGTGTGTGTGTGTGTGTGTGTGTCGGTGTCGCTGCTCATCTTCGAGTATTACAGTAT